GGGCCAGGAGATCTCCCCCGCCTCGGGTTTCCCGCCGGGCCCTGGCGAGGAAGCCGCCCGTGCTACGCGCCTCCCTCAATGAGGATGTCGGAGAAAGACACAGAGACTACTTGTAGTATGGCAGATCGGGAGACACCCTGCCGGTGAGAATGCGCCGCTGGTGCTCGTCAGCTCTCCCTCCATTCCCTCCTCCTCCCTCCTTTTCTGTGTCTAGCCCCGCCTCCGCCAGGTTCCCCTCCCCGTGAGCCCGTCAAGAAAAAAAAAGAATGTCCTGCGGTGTCACTGTTCCCTACTACTCCGAGCCGGCTGTGAAGATTAGCATCGTACGTTGCCCCTTCTTCGACACACACGCGCACACGCACACTCGTGTGCACGCACGCACGCACGCACGCACACTCGTGTGCACGCACGCACGCACGCACGCACACTCGTGTGCACGCACGCACGCACGCACACTCGTGTGCACGCACGCACGCACGCACGCACGCAGTCCGCCTGCACATGTGCCTGTTCTCCTGGCCGTTATCTCCCTGACTCACCAATTTGCCTGTGCAACCCCGATGCAACTCCAGCTCCCTGAGGTTGACTCCAACCCGGCGGCCGCCACTTTTGTCCTCTTCAATGAGGACCACACCCTCGGCAACTCCCTGCGTCACCTGCTGATGCGCAAGTGCGCCCCTCCCCCCTCCTTGCCCAGCCTGTTCCGGATGTTCCTCCCCCGCAAGTCCTCTCGGGTCTCTGATCATGTTTCTTCTTCCTCCTCCCCACCCCTCTCCTCCGGCACAGCCCTCGTGTGGTGTATTGCGGCTACAGCGCGCCCCACCCCACCGAGGAGAAGATCCACCTTCGCATCCAGACCGAGGAGGGTACGCAGCCTGGTCTTTCGCCCGCTGGACCCATCACTTCGCCCGACCTGACCCCTCCCTTGTCCGCCTCCCCGTCCCTGCTCCAGGATACACCGCGGTTGAGGCCCTGCAGAAGAGCCTGGACGATCTGGTGTCCGTTTGCGACCACATGCTTGACACCTTCACCGAGAGTGTCACCGAGTTCGCCACCGCAATCGAGGCTTCGGAGGGGACCGCCGACCAGATGCAGGAGTAAGGCATTCCCTCTCCGGAAGGCGGCATGTCACCCTCCCTGCCCCGTGCGCTTCCGCTCTCCGCCCGTCTCCTTCCCTGTCCCCGCCTGGGAAGAGCACGCCACTGCCTGTCGGTGCAGGCCAATAGAAATCGAAACCCAGCATCTCTTCCTCCCGAATGGTCGAAGAAGAAGCACCGGTGGGGTGTATTGCTGGGGAGGGCGGTGGGAGATGCCCCGCGCAGGCCCTCTCCCAACAGCCCCCTCCACCCTGTACCCCACGTCGGTCCCTTCCCCGGGTTCTCCCATGCGGGTGCCGGGGGAAATAGCGATCGAGGGGGAATCATGGGGTTACCCCTTGAGCCAATCCAAGAAGAGCAGGGTCAGCGTCAGGCCGACCATGATGAAAAGCCACATCTTCCGGGAGCTGCTCGTGTGCTTGATGGCGGACTTCATATGTCGGTTGCCAGACCGGATGAGTTCGGTGGTTCTGCGGGGCAGACGCGTCAGGGCAAGCGAGGGGACAGGCAACAGAGGAGGGAGGAAGACAAGAAAAAGAAACACAAGAAAGTGGCCAAAGAGCGAGACAGGCGAAAGGGAAGCCCGGGCAAGCATACTCGATGGCCTCCGAATAGAGGCGTTCAATCTGGGCGGCCTGCTCTTTCACATGATTGGCGATGATGCTCTCCTGGGAGGAGATATGCTGGATGAGCGTCTGCAGGCGACTGGGGGGGGGGAGCAGGGGCGAGGGGGTGATGCTGTGAGTGGGACGGAGGGGGGGGGGGCGGACGAGAAATGGGCCGAACAGGGCCCCGGCGTGTCAGCAACGTACTGGATGTCCGGCTGAATGCCCACCATCTCGGCAAAGAGACTGTCCGATTGCAGCAGTGCCGAGGCCAGCTCTTCATTGCGGCGGTGGTCAGGCACGGTGGGCGAGTCGGGCGAGTCGAGGGATGGGGAGGAGACACCCGGCCGATGGTGCCGAGCGGTGGTTGTGCCGGAGGACAACCCCCGCGAAAGGGTCGACCCCCCCGCATCGGTGACCCCGGTCAGGGTGTGGCGACTCAGCATGTCGGCCGAGTCAAAATCCTTCCTGCATGGTGCGGTTTGTCAGTCGACGGCCGAGCATGATGCCGGCAGCACCGGCGGGGGAGAGAGGGAGAGAGACAGATCAAGAGGGGGGAGAGGCAATGGCCAAGGCCATGCATGCGAAAGGGGTCATGAGGGCGCACAGCTGGAGGGTCTCCATGGCTCGCCGGGCACGGGCCTGGATGGCACGAGACGCCTGGGTTTCGGTCCGATCCAGGAGTGTCATCAGGCAGGAAAGAACACCGAGCAGGTGCGCAAACAGATGGCTGCACTGCGGGTCATAGTCCGGGGCATCGGCCGGGCCCTGGGTTTGGGCTGCCTGGCGCTGGAGGGCAGTTTGCAGCTGATTAACATCCACCAGGATGGCGCCCAGACGTTGGCGCACGCGCGACCCTGCGCGCTCCTCCTGGAGCTGAAGCACTTCGACATCTTTGCCGGGGCCCTGGCCCCCGGGAAGAGGCCCACGGGCTTCCAAGTCGCGAACCAGTGCCCCCACTTCCCGGATGTCGGAGGCGATTTTCTCCGTGGCCGTGTGGAACATGGACAGGAAGGATTCCAGGGGGGGGCGTTTGGCCGATGGCAGTCCGGGCCAGGGCCCAGCACGGGTGGGCGCCTTCGCTGAGGATCCCGCGGCCCGGGTCGCTTGCTGAGGAGCGCACACATGTGTGTGTGGTTAGATGCGGGAGGATTGGAAATGGGCCGGGAAAGGGGACAGACATTCACATCAGGTGGCCCGAAGGAGGTCGCCGGTCAGGCTCCAGCGAGATGGCCCAAGCAGCCACGCACAGAAATCAACGCAGACTGGAAGTCATCCATCCGGTTTCGGCAATTCTCAGCCAGCATCATGGCTCCGAAAATGGCAGTGGAAAGGGCCGCGTCCGGAAGGGCGTGATGTGCACTTGGGTGGAGGTGTGTCTCCAAATGTATGTGTGGGTGTGTGGGTGGGTGTGTGTGTTTGTTGGGAGGGGAGTAGGGTACGTGGCTGGTTCCAGCGCTGCGGAGCCATCCAAGGACACAGCCTCTTCAGCTGCCGCACACGACCGGCCGGTATGGTTAACCGAGACACCTCCGGTGCTGCGGCAACGCCAGACCCAAGCGGCGGAGAGGAGAGCACACATCCCTCCCTCCTTGCTCAGGACGTCCTCCCTTCCGCCGGATTCAAGGGCCCTATTTGCTGATGGCCGAGGGGATCATTTGGCCGCGATCGGCCGGTCAGCAGGAGGCGCGTCGGCTGCTTCCTCCGTGTCCCTACGCTACCCCCACTCCCCCAAGGGGATATGGGGGGGGGGGGGCCGGTACGCTTCAGAGCGATCGGCTGGGACGCCCGACCCGGTCCGAAGTGCCAACTCAAGCAGAGCTGGAAGTGATCGCGTGCCTTCGTCACGCGTCATCCCACATGCGCGGCAGTGGGAAACAGGCCCGGGCATCTCCTTGTCCAAGCTCTCGCATGCATCGCACGCAGGCCCATCGGCGCGGAGCATAATCCCCGGCGGTGCCCGGTCAGCGTTCTCACCGTGGGGGCCACCGGGGCCGGGGGCCCGAGAGATATGCGTTTTTTTTTCTTGTGGGGCGGGGGCAGGTGGCACATCCCCCCGTTGGAGAGGGTAGGGGCGGCGGGGGGTCCCGAGCATCGGGACTGCGTGGTCACCCCTGCACCCCTCCTCGAATGGCGATGTGGGGTGCTTGCGCGGGAACACACCCGGCACCGAGTTATCCATCCTCCCCCGGCGCGGTGCATTGGCGAGCGGAGGATGGGGCCGGCCGGTCGGGGGTGCCATATTCCCCTTTGCGCCGCCCCCCCCCCCCCCCCCCGAGGCGGTGCTACCGATTCCAGCCAGGGCGGGACGGGGGCGACCTGTTGGCGTGGCCCCCGCCCGAAGGCGGGCCGTCCCCGGTGCCTTGGCGCGCGGCGGCTGGGGCCGGCCGGTCGGGGGTGCCCTCTTCCCCCCCCCCCCCCCCCCCCCCCCCCCCCCACCAGCGGGTGCGGCCAATTTCCCAGGGCCGGGCGGTCACTCGGCCCGCTCGTGCTCTACGAGGGTCGGGCAAGCCAGCCGGCGTGCGGACGAGGGGCCCGAGCGGGGAGGGGGAGGAGGGGGGGGGGGGGCACCCGACTTCCCCGGGCGAAGGCCAACAGAGTTCGGCCAGGACAAACGTCTGCGGGGGCGGGGAAAAATAAAAACGAAAATACACTTGGCCCGGCGGGGCGTGCCATCCAATTTGCGTCCCCTTCCGTCTGTTATTATGATCCCAGCCGGCCGACGTGTGGGCCCATTCCCCCGCCCCCGGGCCGTGGTCGGGACCGGCCACGCACACCCACGCGCCAACGCCCGGGCCGGTCCGGGATTTTTACCCCATCACCACCCCGCCAGCGGCCCTCGGACAGACCCGCTCGCAGACACACCCGCGAGCAAACGCACGCGCTTGCACACGCTAATGCAGGGGGCACAGGCCCCAGCCGATCACTCGCTTCCCAGGTGCTGCCGGCCCCCTTCGGGAATGGGGGGGGGGGGGGCGGGAGGGGCGGGTGACCCCCGGCGAACCATCGCGCGTCTCTCCCCCTCCCCCCAAACACGCGAACACACCAGCCAGGGAGCTTGACACGGTGCGGCGGCGAGTCCTTCCTGCCTGGACACCAGTCCGCCCGGCCCTCTCGCCGCCGCTGGCGCCGCGTGTCCCCGGGAAGCTCCTCCCAAGTCCCCGGAGCAGGAGCCCCTGGTGAGCATCTGCAGTGAAGAGGTGCCCGAGCCCGCCTCCGGAGGGAGGGAGGGAGGAGTACATCCCC